TCGTAGAGTGGGGTTTCGTTCTCCACTTTGTATTGACAAATAACGCAAACAGCTTCAAACGCAAGCTCAAAGCGTTCTTCACTGTGACGAAAGCAATGACTCGTCACATTGAATCGCTTGATCATTCCATTGAAATTCTCTTGACGCATGAGAGCTCGTCTTTTGAATAGCGACACCCCCTTGTTGTCATGAGCATTCGGTGTGCTAATTTGTTTTTGTTCCCCATTGTAACCTCGATCTCCAATTGCTTTTTGTCCACGACGACGGAGTTCCTCGACAAGTCCTCCTGTTCGGGCTACCGTAATGTCAGACGTCCCTGCAGGGTAGGGTCCTCGCATCCACAACAAACGACCTGTGCTCAGGCATATCCCAAGCTCATACATCAACCCAGCTTTGTGATATTTGTGGCTGTAGTAGCGCCTGTTTTGACTCCAGACAGGATGTTTTGGCTCCTGTATCCAGCAGTGAATGCCGTCTACCGTCAGGACCCAGATATCATCTGTGCACAAGTCCTCCTCCCACTTGATCTTCTCGTGTTTCAAGGCTCGAAGTCTCTCGATCGACTCCCAAGCCAAATTTCTTGACCAGTACATGCTGAAGCCAAATCGAGCTTCCATGTCCCTAGTGACGAGACAATAAGTTCAATCAGTAACACGGGGCGCTGCAAAAAGCTATTGCCACCACGTACGTACCTTTCTGTTGGATACTTCAACAAGTAATGAAGTGCAATCAAGAGATTCCTCAAATCAATTCGACTGCCCTCTACTTTGGCTTCTTCAATATCCGTTGTTTGCATGTCGTGGTAAATCTCGGCAGCAGTTACAGGAGATAAACCAAAAAATCCCTTGAAACGCTCAAAGTTCACCCGTGCCGTTGACTTCTGTAAACGTTTGCGTTTGTAGCCCACCAGTTTCAATCCAAGATACTGGATCCTCTCTGGTGTGACCACATGATTGACTGGTGCCTCGTCCAATTCGTCTACACCAGCATTGTCATCATTGTTTCTTGGCTGGGGGTCCTCCAACACCTCTGCCATTCTTGAAGTTGGGATATTGTGCCCAAAGATGACAAGAATGCCGAAGGTGAAAGATTGCAAGATAATTCGATTTGAAACTGGGAATTGAGTCGTGAAATAGCGAAGTGACATTAAGTCTGGAAATAACAATTGGAAGTCACTTTAAGTCTGGAAATAACAATTGGAAGTCACTTTAAATATGGAGATAACAATTGGAAGTAACATTTAACAAATGGGAAGTCATTTTAAGGATTCGGGACGTCACTTTAAGGTTTTACGGGCTTTTCAGTTTAACGCGCTTTCGACCATTCTAACACTTCTATTTTACGAGGAAGAAGTATCACCCCTTAAAATCGTGCTCCCCCTTTTTGTTGAGAACTTGGTGCTGGCCGGCTGTGACTGGCAGGTGCGCGAGCCGTTCAGAGTTGCGGGTGTTCCAGAGAACTTTGAATCTTCACGACCATCTACAGAGAACTTTTTATCTTCACGATCATCTACAGGGAATTTTCAATAAACGCGCCACCCCCTTCTATATAACAAAAGTCTGTAGACGATCGTGAAGATTCAAAGTTCTCTGTAGATGGTCGTGAAAATTCAAAAGTCTCTGTAGATAATCGTGGAATTGAACCAATAAGTATTACTTACCAAATTTCACGATTATTTACAGAGAACTTTTAATCTTCACGATCATCTACAGAGAACTTCGAATCTTCACGATCATCTACAGATAATTTTCAATTAACACGCTACATCAATTTGTCGTATTCATACTGTAACGGAGATATAAATTTCTCCGTTGAAGATCGTTAAATTCTGAATTTCTTTAAATGATCATTAAAACTCGAAATACGACTGAAAATACCTTTAAATATGAAAGCAACACCTCTGCAGGGCAACCGCGCCTGTTTATTGACAACAACTTTGGCTCGCGATCAAAATACACTTAAAGGATTGACTAAAACCTCTCAATCAAAACCGCGGGACCGCTTTTCAGACCAAGATATTTTTGACATTTAATAAGAGAAAAAATCAATAAACAAATTGAATTTTTCTATTTAGGGTCTATTTTTATTTCTTTAGGCCTGTTCCATCGACGAGCGGACCGCCAAGTGAAACCTTTAGGCCTGTTCCCGTCGACGAGCGGACCGCCAAGTGAAATATACATCTTCCTGCGGCAGGGGGTGCTTTGGTCGAAAAAAAATGAAATCTACAGATTTTTTCGGGATGTCCCTGATTTCATCACAATTTGCATCCGACACGAACGATTCATAATGTTTGCGGTAGATGCAGATTCAAGCACAGAGCACAACCCCTCCGCTCATCATGCATACTTAATCTCTTAGGATAGTGGGTTGGAAGGATGATATAAGATGGGACTACTCCCAAATGCTCCCTCTTGTGGATGAGTGGATTCAAAATGTGCTTGATCAGATGTTGCTTCATCTGCAGGAGGTTTGTCGCACTTTCACCATCCAATGTATTGGGACAAGGAATAGGGATATCTAAATAGTAAAAATATTCATTATGCAGCAACGGCTGGGCTATGGGTCCGAGTCTAGGAGGCCATGGAGCCGAATTTTGCACAACAGATGCTTCATATTAGAATGGTCGACTTCAGCCATTTGATTCTTGCATAAGGAGCCAAAATAACCTCTATCTAATGTATTTAGACCTATTGCAATCCGGATGCGCCAATTTCACTTTCCAGCAAGTGCATAGTCGGCATCCAAAGTCATAGTGAAACACACTGTAGTGGTTTCACAATTGGTGCGGATAAAGTACTGGAAAAGTTTCCTAGCAATGCTGTAGTGTTGGAGCTGAAAGCTCAACAATCTCATCTGCTTATCTCGAAAAGCAAGTAGTTTCCAGCTCAAAGATAATATAGGAGGGATTCGAAGTTGCCACAGTTTGATTGTTGCCTTGACGCCATCATCGAATGTTGGCTTGACTTTTTCCTTGGAAGTTTGGCAGCAAGTTTTGGGTTCGCATGGGCATTTTGAAAAATTCTTTGTGCACCCGATCTTCACACATACACTGCATTTGGGCAAATTGTTTGGTTCCCTCTTGGGTTGCATTGGTGCAAATTTGAAGTGTGCGGAGGTTGTTGTTGACGAGCAATGGTCGACGGACCAAGCGTGCACGATTTTTGGCGAGATTGGTAAATTCGTCTTTTATCATAGTCATCTCATTGCTTGAAGTTGAAGTTTGGGGGGGGATAGCCCCCTAGGGGGCTATCTGACCCCCGATCGGTAGAATCAGAAATCGTGAATTTTGACTTGCGCGACCACGTGCACTGATTTCAGCTGGGATACCCCTTGAGGGGGGTGTTGGATCTTCTATGCGTGCTAGAACCCGGATATGCGTCTTTGAATGCGTACTTGAACCCGGATGTGTCTGCTTGAGTCCGGATGGGCGTGTTTGAACCCGGATGTGCGTGCTTGAAGACTGTGCTGGTATCGTCAAGTTCGAGCCAAATTTGGGGAAGGCAAATGGCCTATGATACGGTGCACCAATGTGGCGATTGGAAATCATAAAATTGTACTTGCCATAGGTACTATGGTCGTTCCTCAATTTGGTGTGGGTCGTACTGAAATTGTTCAGCAACAGCCGTATAATCGCTCTCCAGGCCAGGCGCTGGCGGATGGTGCGAGGCATGTTGAAGCCCAGTCGCAACTGCAACAACATCAGCAATGGGTTGGAAACGTGCTCGATGCCATTGCAAAACCCAATACCAAAGCAGCCTACGAGCCCAAAGAGGCTGAATTTTTGGAGTTTTGCAGGGTAGTCTACGGTGACGATCCCGTCCCATGTCATGTCACCTTTGAAAAAGTGTATAAATTTTTTTATTATGTTGTTCATCGCCAAGTGAGACCATGTGGAAAGAAAAAAGGCACCAGTGGTTACTTCAATCTTGAGGAATACAACCGAATTTGGAGCGCAACGCGAGGATCACTGGATGCGGACACAAACCATGTGCCACCGCATTTATGTTTCGGTGACTTACCAGAGGGTGAGGGTTCGTTGCCAGGGTACGACTGTTTCAATCAGTACAAATGTGCAATAAAAAACTCCACGAAAAAAACTTGAGAAACAAAACCACTGGATTGGATTGGAACCAGGAAATATGGACTCCCTGGTGCAAGGATCTAGAACTGCTAGTGAAAAGGCGCAAGGGGGTAATGAAAAAGGTGAACCACAAGGAGAAGATGAACCCTGACCATACCCTGTTGAAGGGGAAAGGGAAAGACAAGCTCATTGAGGAGGAGATGTGGAGAGAGGGTTTCACCAAATCCACTCTCCGAAACGCATTTGGTTCAATTAGGTACGAAAATTGTTTGTTCCTTAATTGTCTTAGATTTTATATATGGCTCTAATGTGTATTTATGACAAAGACATCTCTTAATGTTTTTATTTACCTTGAGTGGTGTTCTTCGTATGGAAAGTCTACATTCTGCAGAATTATCTGATTGCTTTCTAATTAAGGGTCGGAACGAAGCTAAAGAGTCCCAAGATTGGGATTGCTTAATCATGCAAATGTGTGATGGCAAAACAAATAGGGGCAAGGTGTTCTACGGACGGTCTATGCGTCACAAGAACGTACTATTATGCCCGGTTGGAGCTCTCGGTACTTGTTGTCTCGCTTCAAACTTTCTCGCGAGTTTGACGAAGATAGTTGCCCAGACTTCACTGACAACAGTGCGTGGTATGATATCAAGCTGTTGGTATCATTCGGAACACACAATGAAGCCGAAACTGCCGAGGGAGGGCGGAAAAGGCCCATCAAGCCAAAGAACTTCAGCGATTGAATGAGGGAGATTCTAGGTAAGCTGGGCATTCCATCCACACATTTACAGCACCTTGGAAGGCTGTTTGGAAACATGAATCTTCAGTACCTAGAAATTGACGAGAATTTATTCGAATGTTGGGCAACTGGGCGGTCAACATCCGCGACCAGTGCTACAGCACCCATCTGCCACTCAAAGCAATGAGAGCCGCTGCCGGGTTTACCACCAGCGAGGGGCGGTACTACAATCCGCGAGCGTTGGTTGTTCCACCTGAAGAACTCAAGAAGAAAATTTTCCCCTTTGCGGATCGTGCATTGGAAACAGTTGAGGCGGCTTGCAAGAGCAAGGGCAGTCGCATGGGTGGATACTATCTAGGAACCGCCAGAGGTTTCTTAGAAATGCTCCTGCAGGACGCGGTGGCAATGAAGGTCCTGCATCCGGAAAGGTGCAATGGCCACATGTTTTTCCAGGCCTTTCCGGAGCTCTTCCGCAATCAGTTATTTCTGGTAAGTTCCACTGTACTGTACTGTTTGATTGTTGCTTGTTGCTTTTCCTGTCTTCTAACACGACCCCCCCCTTTTCTCAGGAATACACAGCGAAAATGCGACTGGAATTGTCGCATGCTGTTGAGGTGCGAACTGCCACCGTTGACGCCATGCTTCCCGGCGTCATTGAGCATTTCAATAGCCTGGGGCAGGGCGTTTGGCGAAACGGAGAAGATATAATGGAAGTAAAGAAAGATGTAAATGATTTGAGGGAGGCGATCCCGGCGATGATGCGGGACACGACGCTCGCAACATGGCAGGTGGCGATTATGCGGGACACGATGCTCGCAACATGGCAGTCGCTACTCAGCGGAATGACATCGATGGTCGGAGATACGCGGAGTGCTACCGCTACCGCACCATCAGCATTTCCAGCAATGCAACAACAAACAATTGCGGCGGCTGCGAATCCCCTGCATCTGACGGAACAAATTCGCAGTTTTACGTTTGAATCGCAACACAACAATCTAAAAGGTATGTGGGAAGAATGGCACGGCCTAAGAAACTACAAGGACATGCCAATGGCTGGAGGAGTTGCCGCTTTGGAGGAGTTGCACGGCCCAAAATGGAGGGAAAAAAACATACAACAACGCGTCTCAAGACAGGGCACGATTTGTCTTGCGATTAAAAAGAAGTCTGAGGCCGAATCCAAGTCGATCGACTCGGTTTGCAACGAATGGAATGAAAAGTATGCGGTGGATTTGAACAAAAACATGAGAAGTTTCGTGCAGTACTTGCAGAATAAGAATTGGATTCCAGTTCACGCATGACGCGGACGAAGATCAGATACTTAGACAGCTTTGCTTACATAATTGCCTACAATATCTATTAGTCCATATTTTTATCTATTGGAATACAAGTTTTTAGCGAGTTTCAAAGACTCTATCATGGTGAAAAGGCCATCCTTGTGCCATTGTCGTTTGTTTTTGAGAAAATTCTTCACAACGAAATCGTCCCTCCAGTATGTTCAGCCTCCCCTCAATATCCTTTGTTCGTAGCATTGTGTAAAGCTGGTACATTGAGTTGGTAATAAAAGGCCTGAGAGCGGCAGGAACATTTTTGGAGAGCTCAGTAAAAATCGCAGTTCTATGGAAAACGCGTAAACAAATTGACTTCCATCTCGTTTTTTTTGATTTTTCATGCTTCAAAAAAATCGCACCTGTTGAAACGATACTGATTCTCTACAGAAAAGTCCGAAAAAATTACACCAAAAATCGTTCATGCCCTAATTGATTAGTCTTGCTTTATTGTTCTTTTTTTTTAAGTATGAAAAAAACAAAAGCCTCTCCGTAGGCTATTCTCGAACGCGAAGCGAACGCGAAGCAAACGTGAAAGAGGGGGCAGAACCGGTTATTTTGGTGCCAGACAAGTCGAAATGGTATCATTTCAACAAACAAAGCACGATGCAAATATACACACACATAGACACACACATAGATAAAGTAAAGCGATATTTATATTCCGCATACAACTATTTCGCATTCGCTACATTTGCAAGTAAAATTATTCACACCTTTAGTTGCCTGCGAGTTCCTTGTTGTCGTCAGCTGCATAGCGACTGCATGGCGAGGGCACCAATTTCAGCAGACGCCAAACGGAATTCGTCATCTGCCTTTGCCTTTTGCAGCCTCGCTTCATGCAGCGTTTTCCATGCTCGTTTCAGTTATTCTTGGAGTGTTGTCGTTGTTTGCTTGTTGCCTTGCTTCATGATGGGTTGTGATTTGTGATGTTCATGTGTGTTGAGAATTTCGTACTGACTACCACGGTGAGATGTGCGCGGAGGCGGGCGTGACCCGCCAGTGGATGCATTATTTATCGCTCGGTAGCTAGGACAAACTCTGGGATGCTCCTGGCGTAGCCGCAGTACATTAAGCACGCAGACGGAACATACGGACATATATATTTAAAGTAATAACGATTTATCAAATAGGGACTTATGGACACAGATGACCGATTGGTCATTGTGACTTTTTCTGAGTTGTAACTCAGATCACAACGGAATCCTGAGTTATAACTCACGGCATTGAGTTATAACTCAAACGTGTGAGTACGTGTGAGTTATAACTCAAACGTGTGAGTTATATAACTCAAACGTAACTCAAACGTGTGAGTTTTTACTCAAACGTGTGAGTTATAACTCAAACGTACTCAGAAAATGTCAGGGGGATGATGTTCTGCAATGGGGGAAGGGCAGCTTCAAGCGAGATGCAACACAGACTCCAAAGAAAATCACGAGTATGGACAACACGTTCAAATATTTGAGAGACAAACATCAAAAATATGTCCTTGCAATTGTTGGAACAGTCCAATTCCAAATGAATAACGGTCACCCTCTCTTTGAAATAGGATAATTTACCACATATCTAATACAATTTTATTACTACTTGCTAGTCCTCAGACATCGGCGAATCTTCCTCCTGCTTCTTTGTTTCCTCCTCCTTTTCGGCCATTGCTACTTTCATACGTTGTTCATAGAGCAACAAGTTTTCTTTCTTTTTCTCTTTCTTTTCCTTTTCTTCCTTCTTCAACTTCGCCAGCTTCTTCATTCTTTTATCCTCCAGACAGTTGCGGTACTTTTGAAATTTCTTGTTGAATGCGCTCTCTGAATTTTCGTTTTTTGAATGGGTGGTATTCAACCCTAGTTTCTTGAAACTCCGATGCTGTGAGGTCATCATGATTTTTTTCTGTTTTGCCCTTGTCAAATAAAACTTGAGCTCGCCACGTGCGTTATGGGTGGTTGTTGGGTGCTTAGGGTTGGGGTTAGGGTTGGGGTTGGGGTTGGGGTTAGCCAAAATCAAATCTTCCTGTAACGATTTGTCTCTTGCCTTGTCGTGAGCGTTGCGCAAGGTCGTCCATGGCGATGTCAGAATTTTTCGTAGAAATAACAGGTTGAGTGTATTTTTTAAGTCACTGTAGCCCAAAAACGTCACCAGCTCCATTGGACAGAAATCGAAAATTTCCGATATCCAAAATGTGCTAGCAATTCACCAAGGAAGGCTTCAATGAAGCTAAAGATCGAGACACATATTGTTCATGAGTCGTACTAGGCCACACTGTGCACATTCGATGCCATAACATCCAATAAAACCTCGGAGGAGGTTGATTGTTACTGGTCTTATATTGCGTCTGATGTCGCAAATCCACGTGGTTCAATCGGCTGGTACACAGCCAATACGAACTCCAGACATGGTACCGAGCCTCTTCATAACACGAATAATGAGTTCGACCGAGGTCTCAGGTCTCCTGGGAGCGTCGCGATTGTCCAAAATTGACAGCATCACCAACAGATATATCAACGTAAAATCAGCACTTGCACCCAGCAGAATCACCCCATCCAACGTAGTGGAGTCAGCAAATACCAATGATACAAAGTCTAGTAGATAGAAATCCGATAGTGAAAACACTCGGGATAGCCAAAGGAAGTAGTTAGATCCACAGGGTGCAAGCAGAAGCATCACAGCAGTGTCGAGGAACACTATAGGCTCCTTATGCCGTTCTTTGTCTCATTCAGCTTGCTCCTTTAGTGTTACCTGATCTTCGCAGATGTGTCATTGCTAACCTGAAAATATCATGTGTTGTTGTGCCGTGTGCATATACCGGGTACTGTAGTCGAAGAGACGATGATGCAGTTTTATTGTTGATGCGACAAATAAATAAGATATAATTTTTGGGTCTGTCCGGCCGCTCTCATGTCGGATGGAAAAATGCATGTGTGACACATATATCGCGGTATAATATCCAAATCTTTGATTCTCTTTATTCACGACACTCAACGCTCACATGAAAACCGAAGTAACAGACAAAAACACGACGGGCTCCTTGGAGGGAATCCTTCTGACCACGGTCCATGCCCTCTGGATTGTCACTTTGAACTGTCCGAAATCAAATCATTGACAAGATGTCAGCATCAAGTGACAATTGGGATGTCGCTGTTCAGAGACAACCGTGTAGTGATACATGCAGATTCCCAAAATGCCCCAAGAACACTGACTATTGTGTCAAGCTTGGAATGTATTGTACGCAACACTGTCCTTGTGGTAAACAAAAGAAGAAATGTGGAAACATAAAGCAGCAAAACAAAATTAGTAAGGAAGTTTGTAGCAGCTGTAACAAGAAGCGAAGGCTTGTCGCCCGTTGTCAAATTTGCAAGAAGTGCAGTGATTGCTGTACTTGTGTCACCAAAACTCCTGCGAAAAAAAGATCCAATTACGGAGAAACAGTGAGCCGGATACAACTCGCTGCTCAAGAGAAGACTCCTCTCGCTACACGTTTGGCAACTGGAGAGCTTGTACAAGATTGGACTGGGTTCGAAGAAGCTCGGCTCTTCGAGGCTGTGGGTCTTGATCAGTCCACTTATCGTCATATGCCCAGTGCCACAATTCGTCAAGAAAGCAACGCACTCGAACAGATAGAGATGATGAAGCATTCGGATCGTGGGTGGAATGAACTTGTGCGTGTCATGGATCGCATCTATGAAGAATGTGCAAGGATTCTCTTGCCAAGCGATGCGGAATGGCTACAAGACCGGCACTACGTGAAACTAAGCAAGTCGCGAGGCGTGCCGGAAAGTCGCAATCTTGGAGAGATTTGCCAAGGGGCTCTTTATTCTTGTCAAAAAGATGCCGCAGCATACCATGGCCTATCGGATTGCGAGAGCAATCATTGTAGACAATGCAACCGAGAGCGAGCTTGCCAACGTTTTTTGTGATCTAGACCCTCTAAGGTTCTGCCGCGTTGCTCGAAAACGTGGATGCGAAGACACGACTAGAGCCATCGAAAGCAGCAAAGATCCAAAAAAGAAACGCCGTTCCGTTGCGCACATCGACCCGGAAACTCTCACAGGGATGGTGAAGCACATTCTTTCGTTTTCTCAAGCTCTTTCTTGGGGCACCAAGGAACTAAGACAAAACGGAAAGACTGAAACGATCACATTCCCAAGACTCACAAGAACACACCCAGTGGAAGTGATGTTTATGGATTACGCAAGAAAGGAGGCAGAGCTCAAGGGAATTGAGTTCAACGAGGAGCGTCAACCACCTCAACGCACAACCTACTACCTCCTTGTCAAGCATTTGACATGAAAGGCTGAGAAAAGTATCACTTGTATTGACTATGTCCAGGATATCTTGGTGAATGTTCGAGTGACTGGGCTTTCAACAATTATTGATCAAGTCGTCGCCCCAACTCAGCAGAAGGCAATGCAGCGATACGTGTTAGTCCTTCAAAACTTTCTTAAGTACCAATATGATGGGCACCTTGAAGAAGGATCAGTAGTAAGTAAAGCGAAAGGAAATGTGCAAGATGCTGCATCTATATCCCTTCTCACAGTGTCGTCAGATTTGTTCCCACAGCATCGACTATGGCCTAAGATTGGAACAACAAAGTTATGAAGGCAATAACTCATCAAACTGTGTTCAAATCCAAGGCATCGAACATTGCCCCGCGTGCAAGTTTGTTGAGTACTTCATGCGTGTTGTACTTCCCTGTAAAGTGAAGGAAAATCGAAGCTCAGCAAACAGTGCCAGCGTTGAAGATGCATTGGACTACATTGAAGACTCGCTTGATTGCTTCCATCGCTACCAAGCTCATCGTGTACGAGTGAAAAGTCAACAAAAAGCAATTCAGCAAGTAGATCTTAAACTCAAAGAGGAGGT